GTTCACACAAATTGGCCATAGATTAGCTGGAATGCCAGTCGATAGCAAAGCGAAATGTCAAAGGTGCACAGCGAAAGATACACTCCAAAAGATGCACAAGCCAACAGCAATTGGTTGGTTTAACTTTAACTTTCTTTGCAGCCCACAAACTTCAACAAGAACTCTGTGAAAATGTGCCCAAAACTTTGGCCACTTCTTTGTATTTTCATTTTTGCCTGAGCCTAAACAAAATCGTATTTTAATTTGCCTTTGAGCCGTATTAAAGTTGGACAAATGTGCGTCCAAGAAGTACAATTATAAACTACCTGTAATCCAGAAAGTTTTAGTCCGATCTGGGCAAACTTTGGTTGCCTAAAGGTTGTTGCTTAGTAGAACTTATGGAACTGACTCCCCGACTGACTCGTAAAGTCGAGGCCAGACCATGAGGTCCGGTAAGCCTGATGAGCCAGCGTAAGTCCGCTTTTAAGACCAGGCAGCAGCAGGCAGGGACTATGAGCCACAAAAGTCCTACAACAGGAAGAGGCACACCAAACTCCAGGAGATAGAGATAGCCTCTGCCTCGTAAACTTTTGTGTCTAACTAATTGCTGGGCTCGCACACACACCGCAGCACTTTCCGCTCCTCGCCACAGGACTCCTCGTGCATGCAATTTTCATGCTCTGACACTAACCACACGAATGCTGTGCTGCTGCCAAACAAATTTACTATCTCATTACGTATACTTAATAATTCACAAAAACTCTCATATTACGCATACGCCACGTAGCGTGGCTTTGCGTAGCGGAAATGGAAATTAACCAAAAGCCAACATTGCACTGCACACACGCGCGAGTGGGGTAGGGAGAAGAAAGAAACGAAACTGAAATGAACCTAGAAACAGCAGCCAAATGGAGTGTAGTGGCTGGGCCTCTACCCTCTGCCTGCCTCGCCATTTTTTCTGTGTTGTTGCAAATCATAATAAAATAATTAAGTTACCCGCTTAGTTGCGTTGCTGGAATGTAAGCATTCGCAGAGTGATATTTTGTTAATAATAATAAAAGCATTTCCCTCTCCAAGGCAAGCGAAAATTCTAACTTATTTGTGTTCATTTTTAGACATTCCCGCTTGAGTACTTCAAGGAAAACAAAGACTGAGTTGTGCGCCTTCTTGGGAAATTTGTAGCTCCTTCTTTACACTTTCTTCAGCCTTCCACCTGTTTGTCTTAACAACTTCTACCCTTTCTCTCTCTCTCCCTCTCTCTGTTTTCAATGTTGTTGCTGCTGCTGATGATAATTTATTTGATAATTTCGTATGCATTAAAGAACAACATCTGAGGAATTGTTTTCCTTTTAAACGTTTTCTCTTTGGGCTTCGCTCTTTCCAGCTGCATGCCAAATGGAGGCACAAATGTTTTAAATAATTATTGCAAATTTTACTTTTTACTCGCCAGTCCGCTGGCTCTGCTCTGCTGGGACCTTATTTCTTTATAAAGCAAAAGGTCCCGCCAAACAAACTGTGTAAAAACTTTGCCTACCCACACACACACACACCCACACACACCCACACACACACACTAGCATTGGCAAAGGAAAAATTCAAATTAAACAGAAATTTCTTGTTGCCACGACACTGCCCCGTCGTCGCTCCGATTGGGATTTTCATGGATGACAGTTCCCTTTTTTGTGCACTTGCTGTGGCCAACAGAAAAGGTTCTTTAAAACGTGAAAGCCACAGAAAGGCAAAAAGCAAAAAAAGAACAGAATCTGAGGAGAAAAGTTTCGCAGAGTGGGAACAAGTCTGAAGTGTTTCAGGGCGCAAGATCATTGGAAATTGGAGAAAATTTGCCATCAAATGAATGCTGGAAATGCCGTGGCGAGGCGAGACCTTCCCTCCAACGAACTTTGCCATAAAATATTGTTGAAAACATTCGATTTGTGTAATGGTTCGACTGTTGGGAATGATTAACAGCCGCGTAAACAAATGATCTTCGCGGGCTCATTCATTGGATTTTTGAAGGTTTTGCTCCGCTTTGCTCATATTTTGTATGGGCCTCAATTAAATGGGGAATGCCAGCCAATAATGTGCTCAATGTGCTCATTAAACATTTAAGCATAAAGCACCGAAGGACACCACTTACACGTGGCGTATGCGCAATGTGGAAAGTGGCGAAAGGGAATTGGGCTCCGATTGAGCTGCAAAACAAATCAAATTAATTTGTTTGCTTTATTACTTTGACCCACTGCAGAGGGGGAAGCGGAAGGACGGCAGGATACTGAGGACAGAGCGTGCCAAGACTGACACCAAATGCCTTGCCAATTTGCATACAAAATGGGCGGCAAATTGGCAAAACAGAAACTGCTGTGCTCCGCCATTCCATACGTGGAGTTCGAACAGAAATTGTATCACATTAAACCGAAAGAAAACAAAATGATTGAGAGGCATAGGCACACGCCATCGAGGCATCAGGCCTGCCTCCTGCCCTGATGTGTCTATCCTTCATGAAATCCATGCTCTCCGCCATCAACTCGAAATCCCAATCAGTCAACGGCTTTGAAGCACAAATCAGCGCCCAGCGAAAGTCAAATTAGAAGCACAGAACAAGAATAATAAAAGCGAAAGCAAAAACAAACACAAAAACAAATGCAATGGGAACAGAAATATACTCTACTTTTTGGAAGGATTTATATTAGCAGAAAACTAAGAGAAATCTTTCCCTTTGCTGACAGTAATTACAGCTGCCAGTTGATGCATTTTTCCCCCTTGCCGCACACACTCATGTAACAATCGATGTACCCCATTGAATACCCTTTCAATTACCGGTTCTATGGGAAACAAAAATAATTCACGCGTAGATGAAGCGCAAAATTAGAAAACAATAACAACAAAACGGAAGAGAGCAACACGCAGAAGAACAGAAGAGAGAGAGAGGGAGGGAGGGAGAGGGAGAGACATAACAGTAAATCGAAATCAATAGAAGAATAAATTGAAATAAAAACACTAAAAGGAACAGCTTCAGAGTAGAGTTATGGATATAAAATTGTGTAATGCCCGAGTGAGAGATTTGTAAAGCCTTTGCTGATGATTATGTTGCTGCCTGCCACTTGAGCCGGAAGCGTGTTCGTTGCCGAGGCGCAGTGGCAACAATGAATCAGGGATTCAAGGACAGCCAAGCGGCAAAGATAAACCCGCACATCAGAGAGGGAGAGGGAGAGCGAGAGAGAGCGGAGCGGAGCGGGGGTTGCCATTGTTATTACTGCTGTAATACGCTTTGGCGAGAGGAGATTACAATGTCTGATTACTTTGTTATTAATAAACACAACAAAAAGCGTGCCAAACACACGAATGCACACACACATAATTCTCATGTAAGCCAGCGGCAAGCTATCGACGTGGAAAGTGCCCATTGATGCATCGAAGGGGAGTGGAAAAGGTAAATGAAGGCAGAAAATAGGAAAGAAACTCGTTGGGGACATGCAAACATGAGAGATTTGGAATGGTATTTGGGAGCTGCTGGAATCAGTTTCGAGTTACTTCCAAAGGTATCCCCCACGCCGCGAACAATGACATTACCCACCCCCCCCGCCTGCCACCTGCGTATCATTTTTGTGCTTTGTTAGTGCAAAACGTTTTATTAATAAACTTTTGTGTTGTGTTGTGGGGACAGAGCGACAGAGCAGCAGCCTGGAGCGAGAGTTTTACCTTTCGAAGGCCAAAATGCAGTTGATTCTGTGTGTGTGTGTGTGTGTGTCTTTTTTTTGTAGGGATAATGATGGAAATTCCAGTGGCATTTGCCAAGCCAACATTTTGTTGTCTTTCCCCACACAT